CCTTCCTAGGGAAAGATTAAATCTGTTCTGAAATAGATCGAACTTTTCCTCGGCGATATCAGGTCATAATTAGTCCCATCATTTAAAAAATCTTGTATCCGCCCATATATATTACTTCTAACATGTAGGTACGTTAGCTTTATACAATATCTTTACATCACAAGAACAAAGTATTTAACTGTATACAAGAACCGGCCGCCAAGGTGTATTATCTTTATGTTGACGTATTTACATGCTATTGTGACAAATATATATTTAGTTTTTATGGTATTCACTTCCGGGTGTCTGATTTTATCTAAACATTCATCAATATTCATCCACTTAATATCATTTTCTTAGCTAAAATGTGAAGATTTTAGACAGGAAGTTCTTATTCCACTATTGAAAAATAATAAATTTCAAAATCATGGTATGACCAGGGATAGAATTACTATAATGGTCAAGTAAAGAAATGGAGTTGTTTCGCTTCGCAAAAATGGACTATTGATAAATGAGGAGCTGGACAGGGGTTTTCAGTTCTGAATTTTCTTATTTTACTTGTTTAACCATTTTTCTATTCTTTCTATTTTTAGCCCATTTTTCTCATTATTCTTTCTTATTTAATTGCTCATCATCCCCGCCCCCATTTCCCCCGGTTCTTTTGTCATTATTCTCTATTCTGGAAACTCCATCCAGGCCCTCATAACTTGAACTCATCTTAAAAAAAGGATATTCATTGCTTAAACTGTTTCATGCTCCCTACGCGGTAAACAACTTTGATTGAAACCCGCTTAAACTATCAGCTAAATAATTTTTAAGCGCCACTTTTGAAGTCAAGTTATCAATTGTGCATATCAACATAATACATGTATATGCCCTATTCAGATGATGAAGCAGAAGTATTGTCAACTTAAGTACAAACTTGTATCATGCACTCACGTTTATTTTGTTTCCGTTCATATTTTAGAAAACGTAATAGATTATAATTTCTATAGTCAATATATCCTGCTGTAAACCGATACCGTCCCAAATATGACGTGTATAATAATGTTTTGCATCACGTGGTGGTTTTAATAATATGTGATATCTAATAGTCGTCACGTGGTTAATACAACTCTCCTCCCTGACATCTGATATTTCTTGTCGTTCCTTATATTTCATATAAATCTGATCTGTTTAAATACGTATTTTAAATACTGCATAAAAATTAGGTAATACATCATCTGTCATCATTTCAAATATGATAAACATCGTTATTGAATGATCCACTCCTTCATAGAACGGATCCACTGTGAACGATAATCGCCTATGTACATAGAAAGTACAACCTATCTTAATTAAGTTACGTAAGAAAAATATTACGCAGTCTCCTCTTAGTTAATGTGCGAAAATTACGAAACCAATATCAACAAATGACCGTAAAATAAATTAAAGAGACACAACAAATGACCGTAGAATGAATTAAAGAGATACGTGTTTAATAGTCAATCCTTAAGGAAAACATTGTACAGGCAGAAACTTGGATTCTTTTTATTTATCTAATTATCTATTTTCATAATCATGATAGTTAGTATTATGATTTTTACTTTTGGCCTATGCATGTTGTTTCTATTGTGACCAATCCTGTCGGTTCGATATGGTATACACATACATTTTCGTAGTAATTAAAATATCTATTTACTCTTAACTGCATTACGGTATAATAGCATAACATAATATATATTATAATATTTCAAGTCATTATAAACTACTTATAGTTGACTCCCACACATCAAAACATGTTAATCTCAACTACTGTCATAATTGAATTTATGGTATGTGACATGTCTATAAAATTTAATTTAAAGGAATGATGTACCTTTAAATTTATTTGTACTAGAATATAACTATTATACCCAATTAAGGTGAGAACTTGGTATTGAAGTTAATATGTTAAATCCAAATTGAACATGTCATCCTTACCCTGACTCTGGCGGAAGAGTAATGAATTCAGGGTTAACTTAACCTAAACCTGACGAGAGAGCGGCGAATTCAGAATTGATTTACCCTTATCCTGGCTGGAGAGTGACGAACTCATGGTTCCGTTAACTTACTCTTCCATCACTGGAGAATGAATAACCCAAGAGTGACATACTCTGACTGGAGAGCGACGAACTCATGGTTCCGTTAACTTACTCTTCCATCACTGGAGAATAAGCAACCCAAGAGTGACATACTCTGACTGGAGAGCGAGGAACTCATGGTTCCGTTAACTTACTCTTCCATCACTAGAGAATGAACAACCCAAGAGTGACATACTCTGACTGGAGAGTGACGAACTCCGGGTTTTGTTACGTTATGGTTACTTTCCTCTGATTAGAGAGAAACGAACGTATTTATACATGTATATATATATCTATATAGAGTTTGTGTTAGCATAACGCGAATGGCGACAGGTATTGTATTTTCCTTGAGATAATATAGTTATCCTGAAAATTTCTCCTTGATGATTTAATCCTAGGTCAGTCTTATGTTCATGTTA